AGGGGACATGATAGCAGTTTTCAAGTATCTAAAAGGGTGTTACAAGGAAGAGGGAGAAATTGTTTTCCTTGGCCTCTGATGATAGGACAAGGAGTAATGGGCTTAAAGTGCAGCAGGGGAGGTTTAGATTGGACATTAGGAAAAAATTCCTAACTGTCAGGGTGGTCAAATATTGGAATAAATTGCCAAGGGAGGTGGTGGAATCTCCCTCTCTGGAGATATTTAAGAACAGGTTAGATAGACATCTGTCAGGGATGGTGTAGACGGAGCTTGGTCCTGCCTTGAGGGCGGGGGGCTGGACTCGATGACCTCTCGAGGTCCCTTCCAGTTTGGGAGCTTGTGCTGGTACTCCAGACCCCCCCATGACCTCCCACAATGCTGGGGCACACAAAGTCTGCTAGGCTGTCCTCCCTCCTGCCCCCCTCCAAGGCTCTGGTATATGAGGGGAATGTGGGGAGTGTTTTTCTCCTTCTGGGGAGCTTGTGCTGGTACTCCAGACCCCCCCATGACCTCCCACAATGCTGGGGCACACAAAGTCTGCTAGGCTGTCCTCCCTCCTGCCCCCCTCCAAGGCTCTGGTATATGAGGGGAATGTGGGGAGTGTTTTTCTCCTTCTCAGTTGGGGGCCACGTCAGTGAGGGGTTTTGTATGCAGCACTCAACTGATTTTTCTGTGACTCCTGACCTAAAAAAGGTTGCCCACCTCTGCCATAGGGAAATGCAGCCAGAGGTAGCAGGAAGCAAGGGAAAAGGCAGTGGAATTGAGGGTAGCGCTTGTCTGATTGTGAAGGGCTACTTGTACCTGGTGAAATGGGGGTAGGGCTAACCCTGGGAAAACATGCACCAGGGTCTCGGAGTGACTTCTTGGACCTAACAGAGGCAGGATCCAAGGGGGCCCTACTAGAACCTGCTGCACAACCAGGCGCACAAAATGAGGGGGTCTAAAAGAGCTCAAAAAATAGATTTGAGAGTCCTCAGTGGATAGTTCTTTGAAAACAACTGCTCAGGGTGCCGTGGCAGTCACACGGGATAACAAGAACAGCTTGGACAGTAATTAGGGTCCATTCTACAAGAGCCTAAGCTGATTCCATAGCTTCTTTTAATAACATCTTGGCCTCAGGAGTCACGTTGGTGTCTGTTGGTGCGCTGATGAAATGTCAGGCACTCGGACAGTCACCTAGAGAAGATGGAATCTTCGTCCTATCTTTGTTACCCCGTCTCCGTGAGTGGGAAGGCTTGTAGCAAACCACTCGGTTGTGGAAGTGAGGGGGGTTACTTTGAGTAGCTGATGTTCTACGACCTGCAGTGTCTGCATGTTTCCATGACCCACCATCCGCCCCACTGTCTGAAGGCCTTGAAAGGTTTTGGCCAGTGAAGGACCTGAGTGGCAGTTGAGCCACCTGCCCTTTGAGCCTGGCGTGATGGGTTGTGTGAGCATGTGGAGACTGCTGGTGAGAGGAAAATGTCATATATCTCAGGGTGCTCGGTACCTGTCAGTGGACAGCCCCTCAAAGCTCGTCGGTTACTCTCAGGTCAGTGACTTCCCATTTTACCTGGATGTGGGTGTGGCTCAGGGAGGAGGAAATGGGGATTTTCTAGCACACGCTGATCAGAGAAGAGTTTGGAGCCGCTCTCCCTGGTGAACGATGCTCTCTACTCGTGTTCTGCCTGGTACTAGTTTAACCCTCTCAGGAGATGGGTGGGCTTCCCTCGTTGGGAGCGGAGTTCCTGCCTGACACAGCTCGTTGCCAGGAGGCTTACGCAGCTTACGTGTCCTTTTGTCAGTGTCCTTGCCTTGCTCTGAGCTGTGTCTGCCTTGTATCCCCCCACAACTAACCCCTTCCCAGCCTTCCCCACCCAGACTGAATCTCCCTTAGCAGCAAGGCCTCTGGCCGCTCTGCTCTGCCTTTGACGGATAATTTAATCCGAGGGTTCGGCTGGGGGCCCAAACCCGACCAAATCAATTCCAGACACCCTTCTTAAGCAGCCAGCTTTACTCAGGACTGCATTCCAGGGCAAAAACCTCCAGGGTACTCAGGAAAAAGTTTCTGCAAAGTTTCTGCAACTGCCCAAACAAAAGGCAAGGTCTTTTGTACTATCTTACATGGTAATTACCCCCTTTCACTGACCACTTACAGTTGCATGCATATACAGGTCATGCCCCTTCGCACCAAATTCCCTCCAATCATCATTTGTCCCCTCGCAGTCCCTTTGCAGGCCTTACAACAGGTTCAAACCAGTTTCACCTGTCCCCTCCTTTTGTGTACCTGTGTTCAAGCACGTACCTCTTTACAAAGACCAGACTTAACATCCAGGTCACAGCAGAGGTCATACTGACAACAAATTAACTTTATCCTTCACCATTCACCTGCCTTGTCTTTCCTAGTGGATCTTGTTGGTGGCTACAACATTGGCACCATCAGCCACGACAGCAAGATTGACTGGCTGGAGCTGAATGAGACGGGGCACAAGCTTCTCTTCAGGGACAAGAAGATGCAGGTGAGGCCCAAGGGAAGGGGGGAGTGAGCTGGGCATCCCAAGAGCAGGGAAAGTGGGTGCCTCAGCATTAATCCAGTGTCCCCCCCAGGCCATGAGGGGATCCAGCGCTCAATCCCGGGGGTTGAAGCCTCTGGCCACTGCCCAGCATCTAAGCTTGCTGCTACCTTCGTGCCGCTAGGCACATTCTCAAGGCCCAGCCCCTCTGCCCAGCACCCTCTCCTGAGAGCTGCTCCCATGCTGCCCAGCCCCTGGAATCAGTACTGACCCCTTGGACTGTCCCCCAGCTCCAGCCTGCGGCATTCGGGGCCCACAGTTTGGCGGGGGCAGGTGAGAGCTGTTACACGTGGAACACAAGGATTGTACCACTTGCTGTTTAATCACACAGGAAATACACAGCTCTTGTGGGAACACACATCCTGAACACAGTGCTATACACTGCCGCTTCCCTTTCCCTGCAGAGACAGCCGAGTGCCACAGATTCATGGATACCAATCACCCCAAAATAACCAATAGTCCTGCAGCACCTTAGAGACTAACAAAACAAGTAGCTGGGATCACAGCCCGCTTCTTCAGGTGAATGATCACCCAGTCTGACACACACACACCTCGCCTCTCGCTTCCCCAGAATTTTTCCTGGAGGCGATCTTTTGGGAAGACTGTTAATCTGGATTTTAAAGTATCCACTGATGGAGCATGCATCTTGACTCTGGGTAGATTGCTCCAGTGGTGAAATACTGCCACTGTTAGAAACGTGCCCTATTTACAGTCTGAACTTGTCTGGCTTCCACTTCCAGCACTTGGGTCATGTTGTACTTTGTGAGATTGACAAACCATTACTGTTCCCCATGTGGTGTTGTGGCAGGGGTCAGCCCTGTGCCTGGTACTATCAATATTGTCATTAACAACTTGGATAATGGAGTGGAAAGTGTGCTTATAAAATTTGCAGATGACACCATCCTGGGAGGGATTGCAAGCTCTTTGGTAGACAGGATTAGAATTCAAAATGACCTTGACAAATTGGAGAATTGGTCTGAAATAACAAGATGAAATGTTTAAAAGCACAAAGTACTTCACTTAGGAAGGACAAATCAAAAGCACATCTGCAAAATGGGGACTAACTGGCTATATGGTGGAACTGCTGGAAAAGGTCTGGGGGTTCTTGGGGATCAGCACTACCCTGGCCCTGGCCCCAGCACCCTGCCATCCACCCCAGTGCCCAGCAGGACCATGTCCCTGACCTCAGCACCCTGCCACCTGCCCCAGCATCCTACCCCAGCACCCTGCCACCTGTGCCAGATCCTGCCACCCAGCAGCACCCTCTCCCTGGCCTCAGCACCCACTAGCATTCTGTCCCCTGCCCCCACCAGCACAGTAGGGACCACATTAGTGAAGCTTGGAGGGTTTTTTTGCGTCTCACTTGTGTGGCCCCAACTGACTTTTCTGTGGGTCAGTTACCCTTGACTCAAAACAGGTTCCCCGCCCCTCTCCTAAATAAAGACAGTGAGTCTGACATACTATTTTATTTCAAAATGAAGCCTGGCCAACATGCCCCCAATTGGGGCCAAACCCCCATTTCACTGCAGCATCATAACACTCCTGCACCACCTGACCCCAAATCTGAGCCTGTCATGCATTGGAACCCCGTCCTGAGCCTCTCTCATCCCCAAACTCCTGCATCCCCACATCCTCAGGCTTCTGCCATAACATTCCTCCACCATCCACACATGGCAAAACTGTGTCCTGAGCCCATCATACTCACAGCCTCCTTGACCTGAGCCCCTCACATAGCCAACCCAAACTCCTGCACCCTCACATCCACACGCCTGTGGCTTGCTCAGCACCCCAACCTTCCACCTGAGCCCAACACTCCCCAGCTTGAAGCCCCCGCCCCAAGCCAACATCCCCTTCTCCACATCCTCCTGCATCCAAATTCCCTTCCAGAGCTTGTACTTCTCACCCCTTCCTACATCCAAATCCCTCATTCCCACCCCAGAGCCCACACACCGTGTCTCAACCCAGTGAGGCTACAGCTAGATTACAAGAGTTCTTCTGGGATACCAAAGGTCCAGGGATGCATTTGTTCTTCTGCTTTTTTTAAGCAGAAGAGCAAACAGCTCTGTCAGCAAACCCTGTATTCCTCGTTCCACAAGAAGTAAGGGGGCTTCCAAAAGAAGGGTTTTTTCTAACATTTGGCCTAGTCTAGACAGGCCAGATGTTGGAAAAACCTCTTCCTACAGAAGAATTAAAAAAAAGCGGCAGTGTTGAGTGCCATACTCAGAGTGTATAAAGGCTGGGGATAGCAAGTGATGGAGGAGGAGGAGAACAGAGAGGGCAGGGATTCAAGGAAGGAGTGGGGTCTTGGGGGAAGGATGGGGTAGATCTTGGCTTGTTCTGATATTTAAAAAGTGATCTTGGGCATAAAAAGGTTGGAGCCTGTGACTTGCTCAGCACCCCAACCTTCCACCTGAGCCCAACACTCCCCAGCCTGGAGCCCCCTCCCCGAGCCAGCACCCCCTTCTCCTGCATCCAAATTCCCTCCCGGAGCTTGCACTTCTCACCCCTTCACACCCCCAAATCCCTCATTCACGCCCCAGAGCCCGCACCTCCTGTCTCAACCTCGGGGAGGGGGCTCCAGGCTGGGGATAGCAAGTGATGGAGAAGCGGGGAACAGAGAGGATGGGGCCTCAAAGGGGTTGGGTCTTAGGGAAGGAATGTGATTTTCATGCATTGGTGGGACCCCCCCTTTTTTTGTGTTTGTTTTTGCTTGACAAACCCAAGGGTTCCTTGCCGTTCTGAAAAGCTGAGAAGGGTTCCATGGCTTGGACAATGACCAGCCACGGTTTGTCACCTGGCCAGGGAAGAGGGTTAAGCGAAGGGGTGTGGCTACCTCAGGGGAGGTGTGTCGGGGGGGGGTGAGAAGGGGCAGTTTTTGCCTGGGCAATGACGAAGAGAACAGACTAAATGGAGGCCTGTGGACCCCACCCCAAGGGGTCTGAAGCTGCCTGCCCCTCACTCCGATGTCCACATGGAACCCGGGCTGGGCTGTATCTCTGAGAAGCAATAAACCCTCCTGGTCTACTGGCTGGCAGAGTCACATCTGGCTGAGGACGGGGGTGCAGGGTCGGGAGTGCCTGACGCCAGAGCACCCCAGCAGGCTGTCTGGGAGTGGCCCCACAGTGTACCCTAGCACCATATACCAGGGGCCTGCCACCTCCCTGAGCTACTCCCTCACTGTCGGGGCCTGGAACGTCTCCCCCGAGGTGCTGAGCAGACCTGACCCCCGGCAGCATCATAGCAGGGCCTGGGGCAGGGTGCCAGTGTCCTTGCCAGCCGTGGGTAGTGGCCCAGCCACAGGCCCTGTTGATTCGGTCTTTCCCCATCTAGTTGCAGCTTTATGACATCGAGAGCGGCACCAAGACCACGACCCTGAACTACTGCTCCTATGTGCAGTGGGTCCCAGGCAGCGACGTGGTGGTGGCTCAGAACAGAAACAGCCTCTGCATTTGGTACAACATCGATGCCCCAGAGCGAGTGACCATGTTCCCGCTGAAGGTAACGTTCCCCGGGATGCTCCGGGAGGGCGCTGGGCAGAGCGGCAGAAAAGGGGTGGGCGGGCGGGGTGGGGCGCTCTCTGGGCGACATGACCTTACCTGCGTTCTGCGTGTGCCTGTGGAGGGCAAGGCAGAGCAGTGCCCGTGCGTGGAGAGGAGGTGCTGAGCTCTGGGCGGCTCTTTCAGGGGGATGTGGTGGCTCTGGAGCGGAGCAGTGGGAAGACTGAGGTGCTAGTGACCGAGGGGGTGAACACCGTGTCCTATACCCTGGACGAGGGACTCAAAGCTATACACACAAGGCCACTGAAAAGCTTTAAATTTCCTCTGTCAGGTTGGGAAGTGGGGGGTGGAAGGGCGGGAAGTGTTGTGACAAAGAGCAGGGCTGGGGAGCAGTGCAGCCCGGATGGTGCTGTTTGTGGGGGATGGGGCATTCGGCACTGCACACTGTGGCTAGGCCAGAGGAAGCTTGGTTCAGCCCTTCCACTTGGCTGGCTCAGGGAGAGAAAACCCTCAGCACCCTGGGGGGCATAGCCAGGAGCTGTGGGGGGCAGCAGTTCACAGCGTGACTCTGACCAGACTCCCCTGAGCCCAGGGTAGGTAGCAGAAGGGAGACGGTAGCCTGGTGTGGTGTCCCAGGGTGCGTGTGCAGCGTGGGAGCAGAGCCAGGGCGTGCGTGTGGGCTAGGAGATCACCACCACTGATGTGGAGTCAGTGACGAAGGACGTGTTCTTTATTGCTTCTTCTAACACGGGACCCAGGGTCTCCCAAGGAAATTAACAGGCAACAAGTTTCAAACCAACCAAAGGAAGTGTTTCTTCACATAGGGCATAGCCCCCTGTGGAACTCCTTGCCAGGGGATGTTGTGAAGGCCAAGACTAAAACAGGGTTACAAAGAACTGGAGAAGTTCATGGAGACTAAGTCCATCAGTGGGTGTTACCCAGGACGGGATGGGCTGGTGTCCCCAGGCTCTGCCAGGGGCAGGGAATGGGTGACAGGGAGGGATCACACGGTGATTCCCTGATCTGTTCCCTCGCTCTGGGGCACCTGGCATGGGCTGCTGAGGGCAGACGGGACCCTGGTCAGACCCAGCCTGGCCGCTCTTGCGTTCTTACTCTGTGCAAAGGACGGATGCGGGTTCTGAACAGTGAGTGAGGGCGCAAGCCAGGTCTCCTCAGATGTGGAGCCCCTGCAGCCCCCACGAGCCCGTGCGCGGATACAGATGCTGTCTTGGGGCTCAGCGGGCGTGTGGGGCTGGAACTGCACCTCAGCCCATCCGCTGCTGAGGTGAAACTGACCAGGTGACTGGAAGAGAGCCAGCCTAGGCCTCGGCTCGCTGGGCGAGACGCTGGCCCCAGCGAAGTCAGTGGGCGTCCCTGCTCTTGCAGCAGAGTGCCCTGGGACTGTTCCAGGCAATGAGAACTGGCTAGGCCGGGCGTGCTGGCCTCCTGCTTCTCCGTCACTTCCCCACGGAGCCGGTGCTGTTGAACGGAGCCCGGCCGAGAGGCCCACCTGATGGGGTCCCGGGTCTTCCCACAGCCTGTTCCTGCAGGAGGCAGCTGGTTTCAGACCCAGCCAGAGAGCGCGTCAGGGCTGCATGGCGCCCAGGCCTCTGGGGAGACATGCCTGGGCAGGGACTGAACAGGTACTAGAGCGCCCGCCAGAGGGAGGGCAGCTGGATGTGTACCAAAATCCATCAGGGCTTCCCAGAGAGGGTCCCACACTCTTAGCGCAGCGCCCGCTGAAGGGCTGCTCATCCCCAGGGCCTCACAGTGACCTGCCCCCACCCCAGCTACAGGGTTACATGGTAACTCGCCCTCTTCTCCCCCCAGGGCAGCTGCCTTCTTGGAGACGCTGGAAATGTCCCCAGAGACCGAAGCCATGTGGAAGACCCTCAGCAGACTGGCCTTGGAGGCCAAGCAGCTGCACATCGCTGAGAGGTACAGAGGAGCAAAGCACGCCCGGCACCTTTCCTGCGGGGGTCCTCGCTCCCCAGCGCCCCAGCCCAGCGGGCTAGGAACGGGTGTGTTTCTGTGCTCCTGCTGAGCCAGAGCACTGCCGTGGGGTGTTCTCCATGCTCTACCGCCTGTCCTTGGGCAGAGCCCAGCTACAGTCGCTCACGTGGACAGAGCTCCTGGCCCTGCGAGGGTGGCAAACAGGCAGAGTGCAGGGCTCCAGCTGCCGCCTGCAGAGTCAGGCTCTGCTATGGCTGGGGCAGGCTTCACTGGGACAACTTGGCCCAATGTGCTGAGCCATGGGTGTACCTGCTGGTTCTGAGCGCGGAGCAGCCGCTGCTGGTGACGTTGCCCTCCGCACTCTCCCCAGATGCTTCTCCGCACTGGGCCACGTCTCGAAGGCGCGATTCCTCCGGGAAACCAAT